AGTGCGTCAATCAAGATTATGAGAAGGAGATCAACTTTGTGGATCTCACTCAAGATTCAGATGATGAAGATGAAAATGGAATAATGTATTCCAATTTGGAGATGACTGAGGTGGCTCAAAATACTGTTGTTGAAGATGAAGCATTAATTCCAAGGTTTGGGAACGCTCGCTCAAGATCCTGATGAGGAAGATGAAAATGAACTGTGTTCAAATTTGGAGATGTCTGAAGTGGCCCAACAGGCTGTTGTGGAAGACGAAGCATTCCAAGGTTTGGGAATGCTTGATGAATTTAATAATTTATTTTCAAAGACAACATTTGAAGATCAGCTGGTGCATGAAATCAATGATGATGTTGAGGAATGCAAGGTTTTAAAGAAAGCCAACCACTTCGCACGAAGTGGAGGAAAACTACATGTGGTCACTAAATCATATATATAAATATATCTGCATCATCTCCTCAACCCATCCCAAATTCATATGTTTGCATACAGCACATTTACAATGCACACATGCATGCTTAAAAGGAAAAAGGTATTCCACTGGATCATTAATTCAATTGCAAGCATGTTTGAAAGAAACAAACTATTCCTAGATAGCAAATTAGCAGTTCCAAAATATCATAGTACCAATTGAAGTTACAAGCATGCTTGAAAGGAAAACACTAACAAGAGCATATTGCTAAGCTATAAGCATACTTGACTGGGTTCAAACAATACAAGAACTTCCAAAAATAATCATTTCACAGTGTCAACAAATATCTACTTCTATTATGCTTGATCAAACAAGCTTTATACAAGTATATGTATAATTATGTAAATTTGTTATATCAAACCTAGCTTGCACACCCAAGAAAAAACCTCAAGTTACTTGTTTTCTTTTAACTTACAGGTAGTCACACAACAATGCAAGTAGTAAGAGCTCTTAATGAAAGTATGATATTAGAAAACCTCAAATAACCTTTTAAATATCTTATCATGAGCTTAAGTCTTAAATTTCTCCCCCTCACATGCCGCTAAGATAGGGGATCCAATTTGTGGGAATTCAATCATATGAGTAATTATATACTATTGTTATACCAAATAATAAGACACTTTTAAAAAAGATTTATCATTTTAAAATATAAGACAGTTTAATGAAAATAAAGTTTTATTAATAATACTTTTTCAATATTATTATTCCTATTATACTTTCTCTCTTTAATATTCTTTCACAAATAAAGTATTAAATGATTTAAAAGTTTATATATTTGTTTTTTAAAAATTAAGTTATAAAATATATTTAATAAACTTTATTGATATGTGTCATTTTATCAAAAAATATTTTATAAATTAAAATGGACAGAGTATAACAAGTTTATGATTTTCTTTATTTTTAAAATTTCTTTATGATCTTCTTTGTTTTATGACAATGATCCGACCATTCTTTAGTTGAATAAGTCTATTCTGACTTAATAATAATGTATACTACTAAGGATCCTGGTCCTGTATTCTTTCTAGTTTTACTTGTTCCTTCCCTTGTTATTCTGTTAGTCTCATCTAGTGTTGTTGAGCTTGCACCTTCCACTTATAGACCTAGTTCTTAAGAGTTCAAGCTCAAGAGCCCGTGTATCATAAATTGACTATATTTTTCTAAACTTGTCTCTCATAGACAGAGCTCAGGAAGGCAGATCTGAAAACCCTCATAATTTTTTATTTAAATTTCTAATTATGTTAATACATAATTTAAAAAATTATGTTATTTTCATATATATTAATTCAAAAATGAAACTAAACATATAATTTCAACCATATTGTTTTGCAATATTAGCAATTTTAACTAAATAATTTCCAACAATTTTAAGAGAAAAACAATCTAAAAGAATTAGACCGAGCCAATTTTAAAAAGATTTATAACGATTGGACCTAAAAGCTCTTTTATGCAAAAAAAAAAAAACCTTTATTCTTTTCAAGCCTAGTCTTTAAAAAATATAAGGTTTAAATGGGTAGTTCGAAGAGTTCAATTCGTTCGCCTAATTGGTGAGGGGTTCAATTGCTTTGTGTGGAAACTTCCAGATTTATTTTGGCCCAATCTCACTTGAATGTAAAGCTTTAAACTAATGTCATATCTTCTGTAAATCATGTTTTAAATGCTCCAGAGACTCCATAGCCAGGCTAGCTCCTTGACTTCTATATGTATTTTTATTTATCTATTGGCATGGAGCGAAGCTCTTTCTTGCTGTAATATTGTTGCCGAATTTGCTGTTGTAGAACTTTTAGAAAATTCCTTTTATAGGAGAATTGTTCTACCGAAATCTTTACAGGATGTTATGACTTTTGTTTATATGAAATATGACAATTTATATCAGTATTTTGTGTTTTAGATAGATATGTTGCATGACAAATCCTATGTATTCAAGGTTAAGCAATACGAAGCTTTGATTTGGCGTGTCTACTGCCCCTTTTAATATCTACAATCTCAACCTTTCATTGCAGCTGATACTCAGAAAAATTTCATATAATTCCCTCAAATGAAGAGCTGAGATTTCATCTAATCCCCTCTCTTGCTGCCCCTCTAATGCCTAAAAATTAATGCTTGGGGAGGTTTTGGATGGAAGGAACCCCAAAGAATTTGGTTTAGCTCAATTATACTCAAACAAGGTCAAATCAGGGCACGCAATGCTTAAAAATTAGCAGTTAGTTTTCCGCCTCTCTGTAAAGAAGAGTAAAAGACGAATCATTGTAGATATGAATTGTTAAATTAAATTTGATAACTTTTAAAAATATAAATTTAATTTAAGCGACTTCAATTTGCAGTGAAAAAGTAGTAAAGAGAGAAAGATAATGGATATAAACCTACCCCTAAAAATTGACGGTTTAGTGTGCTGTGATCCCATCTTTTCCATGGCAAACCGATAAATTTTTTTTTTAATTATTATAAAAGATGTGTCAGATCAACAGAACAAAGGTACGTAGTTGTGGAGTTGGAAGTTTGGGCTTGGCTTCCCAGTAAGCCTTTTGCAATGTACAGTGTTTTCCTCGAAGGATGTGAACCATATTTTAAATAGGTGGTGCTGCTGCCGCAAATAGGAACAATGATTGGCGTTTGGATAGTGGTAGGGGAAGAAGGAGAAGGGAGAGGAGAACTTTGGCCTTTTTGGCAAAGGATGGAATTTTCTTTGTAAAATTGATTGCCACGTAAACACGTAACCAGATGCGTTCAGTGTGGTATGCGACTAAATTACAGGCCTGTAATATAATTTATATTAATTTTGAATTTGAACTCTATACAATGTATGAAGAATAAACTAATCAGTAGGGATTCATTAAAACATGAATGGAGGCCTTTTAATACAATTGATATTTCAAGAAAAATTCATCAATTGCATGTACCACATCAATTTTTTTCCTTGCGGCAATTCACTGCATTAAACTGGGGATCATTAAACTATCAAACCCAGAGTTGGTTGTCTAACAAGTACGGATGGAAACTTTGATCTATAGGGCTACGTACGAATTTATTTGCGTCAATTAATGTCACATATTTTCCATTAACCCAAAAAAATCTTCCTTAATTCAAAAGGAATAAAATTGAAAACTTACTGCATATTTACTGCACGAAAAAATATTGAAAAAAATAAAAAATGTATTTAAAAAGAAAATGAGATAAGCGTTTTTTTTTAAATTTTCTTTTCAAAAAATACTTTTCTACCTCCCGAAAATCACACATTAGCGTGTTGTTTGTTTTACGTTAGAAATCACCAAACACCCCTTTTAGCAATATGCGAAAATATTAGATGACAATTATAGGGAAAACAAAAAATACAGAGTAATATATTTTAGTATTTATTATTATTTAATAGGTTAAAGTATGGAGTACATTTAATCTTTTAACTTTATACAATGTTTTATTTTAATTTTTTAACTTTATAAAGTATCTTTTTAATCTTTTAACCTTAACACCATTAGTTTTATCTCAACAAATTTTTACATTGAGCTTTTAACTATTAATAAAATACTCTCAAATGTTGACATATTAAGTTTTATTTCTTTTTAAATAACAATGATTGATATGAAAAATAATCATTTAAAAAAAGATATTAGGATTAAAAGACTAAAAAGATACTTTACAAAAATAAAATACCAAATTGAAACCTTATATAAAGTTAAAGGATTAAAATTATATTTTAACCTCTTTAATAAAGACAATATCAATGGTTACTCACTTATGCAAGACCCGGTGTATTGTTTAGTTTGTTAGGCTTGGGAAGCATCTTGGAAGGGGGATAACAAATCAGGATATCTAGCGGTTCCAAGAGAACACATAAAAGTGAGTGTAATACCATGTTTTAATCTAAAATCTTAAAGTATTGAATCTATAGATCTTTTCCATTTATATACCTCTTCTTAAACGCAACCCCGTATGGGACTTTCCCCTACCAAGCCAAGTCAACTTACATTTTATATCCTAAAATTGTATGTGGTAAGGCTGTTAAAACAGTAGAGCATATTCTCTTCCTGTGCCCATGGGTGAGGAAGTGATGGTTTGGTTGTTCATTGGGATTCTATTTTGGAAAGATGGCTTGAAGAGATGCTTGCTAGTAGCATTCTTGATGAGTATGGGAAGCCAATTCTAGTCACTATGTGCTGGTGGATTTGGAGAATGTGTAATTGGGTACATGGCTGAATATTCAAATTAGGGCTGTGCACAAAAACCTGCAACCTGATTCGCCTGATCCAACCCGGTAAAACTTGGTCTTGAAAATTTAGCCCAACAAAAAATACTACACCAATCGAGTCAGACTAAACTACCTGGTAAGACTAGGTTTCAAGACCAATAGTTCATAACATTCGGTTTGACCCAATCCAGGTAGATATATATACACATACATGAGTAATTAATTTATTAGCGCCCAAATTTCACTTTTTTCCTTAGTTTTTTATTTTGCCCTAATCCCTTTCTCTCCTCCTCCTCCTCCATCAATTTGGTCGCCGCTCGTCTCCACTCTCCCCTCAAGATTTGTTGTCTCCAAGCTTCATCGGCCTTTCTCTCTCCACTCAAAGTCTGCGTCTCTCTAAGCTTTGTTAGCCTTTCCTTTGGCATTGCAACTCACATCTTCAAGTTTGAGATTTCAAAATTCCATTCAACCTTGTTACAGCTACATCCTCTTGATCAGCATTTGAAGGTTGCACATCGCTTCTCCAAATTTACATCTTCTAACGTTGCTTCTTTAAGGGGATTATGGCTCTATCTTGGAGTCTGGCATAATATCTTTAAGTCTTTGTGATCTTACCTTCTAACTTCCTTTTCATGCTTCCCTCAATCTATTGCATCTTCCTTCATCTTATTCTAATAAATTGTAGATCTTATCGGTATTTGGATTGCTATATATATATATATATATATATGTATATATGTATTTCTGCTTTCTTTTTTATTTTTACTTTTTAATGGTTTTGCTTTCTTGGCTGTGTGATTTAATAGTGGATTTGGACAAATATAATAACGTGAAATTGTGAGGATTAGCCATTGATAATGCTATTTGATATGTATTTGATTTTTGGCACTTTTGTTCTATCTTCTCCCTTCAGGCTACTTCTAATGTTTGTCTTTTTTTTTTTTTTCTTTTTTCAAACTAGACTAAAACCCGGTATGGTCCAGTCATGAACCCGGTCCATCTAGTTTCTGGTTTGTCCCAAGTCAAACCAGATCATGGGTCTGAGTCAACAGCCCAAAGGTTTATCAAACTAGACTTTGGGTTTGGGGCTAACTTGGTCTTTGTGCAACCCTATTAACATTAAGGGAGGCCTTGAAGCTGAGGTGGAAATTTGTAGATGCACATGTTTGCTTTGAAGTTGATTTTGAGGTACTGTATAAGCACGTCCTAACATCTCACTTCACAATCTCCTGGCTATTTAAGCAGTAAATGGTATGATTCTTTATACACACACATATATAGTTATTTAATCAAATTAGACTTGACTATTATTGAGTCTAATTGGAGATATCTCTTCCAAACATATGTTTTCTGCATTACTTAGACTTGAACTTGAGATAATATATTTAAGTGGCCATAACCCTTTTCACTACCATGCTGGTTAATTTTTCTCTTCATAAGAAGAATGGATTCTTGTTTTCTTAAAATACAGTTTTTTTCAAAATCGAAAAAAAATTATAATGAACTCAGATTTTTATAAATACAATATTTTTCGCCGATAAAAAGTTACAATTGATGGATAGCATCATATTTAACTCCGTTTTTTTTTTTAGAAATGTGATATTCCATGACAGGAAATTAATTTTAGTTACTGCACATGAAAAGCAAAGTATTAGAAGCAAATCAACATCAAAATAATAACTTCTCCTTAGGCACCTTATCAATGTAGAAATAGAACGTAACTAGGTTCATCCATAGAAATAGAATTTAATTTAAAATTCTTGTTAATCTTGATTTAATGACAAAATTTGTATGTTCCTTAATTAATCTAAAACTAGTTATTAATTAAAATGTAGGTTTTAGGCCTAATAATATAGTTATAACGTATATTACCAAAAAAAGAATCTAGTTATAACGTATAATATATATTATGGGCCTAGTTTGTTTCTCTTGTACCGTAAAATGTGACATGAACAAAATCTGGCATGTTATTACTCGTAAAGTTCTAGTCATCAATATGTATGTTATCCCAAATGTTTGTGCTTTTTTAGTACAACCATATGGTTGTGTTTTAAAATCTAGTATCCTTAATTAAGCGGTTTAAAACAAAACTCTAGAACATTTTTAAAATTAACCTTGATTTTTTTTAACCTTTTAATTTTCTGTTGATATTTTTATTTTTGATACATTTGAATTTTTATTTTGTTAATTTTCCCTGAATGTTTTATTTTCTAGGATGTTTTAAATTTTAAATGTATGAGTTTAATATATATATATATATATATATATTTATTTACCCAGGAAAGGAAAATAAATAGAATGTATTATACTAACATAAAATATAAACACACACACACTTTAGCTTGTTCAAAATGATGATGTGTATCCAAAATTCATACTAACGTGGACAATGAATCATGTTTTTTTGACCTAATGTGCAATGAAATCATCCAATTGTTAGGTTCAAAAAACACGATTCATTGCACGTTAGGTCCAAATATAAAACATGATTCATTGTCCACGTTAGTATCAATTTTGGATACACATAATCATTTTGAACAACCTAAAATGTCTGTATAATTATAGCTAAACATTTTGAAAGAAAATCACTGTTTTGTTGTAGTGACATTAATTAGATTCATTTCCCCTTTTTTCTTTTTCTTTTACTTTTAGAGCTTTTTCCTTTTATTTGACCTTCCCTTTAGAGCTTTTTTCGAATGAAGGTATTCTAGAGATTTTATTTTTAGATATTTATTGAATCCTATGTTTACCTTAATAGAGAAGAAAAGGTACGGTGAGTCTCTAATTATTATGAAAAGAGGGGCATTGAATCTAATAAATGTTATAAAATCTGACTACACATATAGTCATAATGGGATAATTAATATACAATGTATCTTTGCTTTTAGAATAATTCATTGTACAAATTCAGAGATGCAATTTGGAAATGTATCTTTTTGATTGATCATAAATATATACATGCATCTTGAACAAGGCAAAGTATATACCATACACTGGGAAGAGAATCTAATTAATATTATGTAATTAATTCATTATTCATGTATATAGACTATAGTGGGAATGGGATTAGCTTGAAAAATAATATTTCTCACAAAAATTATGTTTTAATTTAGATTCACTACTATACAATTTAAGATCAATTTGGATAAATCATATTAATTGATTGCATTAAAATACTTTGAATAAGATCGATTAAGTATATATTATGAACAGAGGGAAGAGAATCTATTGAATGCCATACCATTTCAAAAGCTTTACAGTGAGATAATAGAATAATAAACTTAGGGAGAATGACAATTAAGTCTAAAAAAAAATTAATGACAGTTTAAGTTCCTGACAATTTTTTTTTAAAAAAATTAGCTGCAAATATTGATTCAAATAGTTATAAATTTAAAATTTTCAATTGTAATTATGATATTTAGATTCTAAATATAACAATTAGTTTGTAATTCAAATTTTTATTTATAATTATTTAAATTGATATTTATAATTTATTTTATAAAAAATTTTGTCAAGAATTTAACTATCATTCTCTCATAAAACTTACAATAAACAGACTGTAGGTATCAATCTAGAGAAAACATACAAATTTTCTCAATTTATAGAGTGAACTAAATAAAAAATATAACTTTTGTGTCTCCCGAGTTAATGGGATGACATTAATTAAATTCTCTTCACATTGTTCATAGCATAGATTTTACCATGTTCACAATATTTTAATGCGATTAATCAAGGTGATATATATCCAAATTAATCTTAATTTTTGGACAAAAAAATTGATATGAATTTATAGAGTAAATAAAGATGAAGGTTAATTGTTTTATCATCTTACTTTCTAATTATTGAAATGGTATCGAATTCATTAGATTCGCTTCCATTTGTTTTCAAAGTATTTGAATAATTAACATGATGTATCCAAATTGATCTTAAATTTTATAGTGAATCTAAATAAAAACATTTTTGTTAGAATTTTTTTTTGAGCTAATAGACCTAATCCCATTGCAGTCTAGATACGTAGTGAAATTGCACAATATTAAGTAGATTTTCTTCCCCCATGTTCGTAATGCATAGTATATACTTTGCCTTGTCCAAAATAAATATTTACGATCGACCAAAAAGATATATTTTCAAATTCATCTTTGAGTTTGTACAATGAATCTAAAAGAAAGATTTTTTTTATATATATAATCCATTATGATTTATTGTTTATACGTCATAAAGGAGTTATCCCATTGTGATCATTATATTTATGGTGAAATGTTATAACATTTATTAGATTCAATTCCCTTTGTTTATAATATATACACTGTGCCTTTTTGCTTTATTTAGATAAACATTTATCCAGCGATGTCAATAAAAAAAAAAAAGACATTTAAAACGTTATTTGATAAAATGTAAAAAGTAGTACGCTCACACAAGCACGCACACACGCACATTAAATTTGGTGAAGATTGTTTTAAGACAACTTTAAGGCATATGATTCAATAAATATATAAAAATAAAAACTCTAGATAGAACACTCTTAAATTAAATTAAATTAATGCTTTCTTTTTATTTTTTTGGTGTAAAATGAATCTAGATTTTTTTTTGTCAAGATAAAATGAATCTAGATGAAAAACGCTATTTCTTTCCCATTATATATTTAATGCGATCTCTCAAGAATAATCTTATGCGCATAACTGATTTTTTTAAACTGCGTTATACAGTTTTTTCCTGTTATATATAAAAAAAGTAATAATATTTAACGTAAGCAATTTTTCCCCTTTCCCCCTCAAAATTGTTTAAAAGCAGTAGTAACCAAACGTTATTATGATTTTACAAAATCCATATAAAATGCTTATATAATTTTTATCATATTTTTAAATTATAATATTTGTTTATAAAAAAATAAAATTAGACAACCCATTTGAACCAATAAAAATAAGTATTGAATTTTTTTAGCATTTATTAATTTTCAAAGAATTTTTAAATTTTAAAACAATCATCCTTTTATATTTCATTTCATTTCTTGGTATGTAACCACATATTTTAATATGTATTTCAAAAATCTATCCGGTGAATATTTAATAAAAATATACTAAAAATGTGAAAAAAATTTTAAAGACATATAATAATTCGAAATTCTAAAACACTTTTTTAAAAATTTTTATTTTTATCTGTGTCAAATTAAAAGTCAACCTATTTTGGCTGACTAATGTTCTTGAAAGATCTCATCATTTGTGAATTTGGATGCACTTGGTTTTCAAGCTACAGGATCATTGAATTTGGGTTTCCTATATAAGGCCTAATTTTTAATATATCACTAACTTTATCTGCTTGACTTTTCTATTGTAATTTTTCAAAATTACTCTCGTTAACTTGTGACCACTACTATATGTCTTTTAATCCCTCTCTCCACCATAACTCTTATGTATTTTAATAAGGGGTCCAGGCAAAAAAAAAAAAGTATTTTAATAAAGGATAAATATGAAAAGAATGCTAAATTTTTTAAAGCCAATTATATTTTAAATTCTTCAAATATCTAGGATGTGACTTATGCAAAACTTTTTTAGCTAAGTAACATTAAAATTGTGAAAAGAAGTAAAAAATTTAAGGATTAAATTGATATTTATAAATCAATAAAACAAAGCCTGTGTCGATTAGCTCCAGCAATCGTGACGCGTAAACAAATCTATTTAGGGGGGTAATATCTAAAGGTAAGATTTAGATGCTGAATGTTATAAACTTAATATACTTTCATCTAATTAAATCAAGATAAATAGACTTTAATGTGTTAATTATATATTAATAACAAGAATTTATTTCAAAACAAAAAACAAGTAAAAAATTTACATGTTTTGATTCAATTAAAAACAAATACATAATTAAACATATAACGTTAAGTATATAGCTTTTTCGCATGTCAAAATTGTAAAAGAAAGCACACATTTTAAGGATTAATTCAAAATCGTAAATGGGCGAACCATAGTCCACGTAAGCTATAAACAATTCTTTAGCTAACGAATATCAAAATTATAAAGGAAAGTATAAAAAATATTTTAGGATTGCACCAATATTATAAACAAGCAAAATAAGTCCATATCAGCCTGCTCTATCTTGTAAAATGTAAGCAATTATTTAGCAAAGTACTATCAAAATTGAAAAAGGAAAAGAAAAATTGAATTAAATCAGGATTGTAAATAGGTAAAACAGGTCCATGCCAATTAACTCTGGCTTGTTATACACAAACAATTCTTTTGCTATTTAACATCAAAATTGAATA